GTTGAGAGACAGGGACAACAAATGCTTCCAAATCAACACTATCTAGACTATTCATTATTTTATATACTTTTATCGTGTCCCCTCTTATTTACCTTCTTTCCAATCTCTCTTCAGATTTTTTTTTTCATACACATAATCCTTACTGAATGCCACACCAGAATTCACAGGTCTGACAATAGCTCTGCCATGGCAAAAGTTTACAAGCAAAATAATGTCAAAGCATAATTTCCTTATTTCCAGAGGATTTGCCAAATGCAAATGCTATTTTGTGTAACCTATCCTCCTTGGGTTCACACACACACAGACTAGATTCCTGAGCTGTTTAATATGGCTGTGCAATGAGAACATACATTTTCTTATAGCTGTAGCATCTATAACACCAGTATCTCAGACTGCCAACTTCACGGTTTTCTAGATTGTATGACTTCTTTTACAAGAAGTCCTTAACTCAGAGTTTGTGGTAAATGTGGAACAAAATAATTCAGTCTACTTCTCTTGCTGATTTTTAAGCAAGATGTGTGTTTGAAGGAGATTCATAAAAGCTATGTACAGTATTCACCAGTCAAATGGCTGTTAATCTATCAATGATGGGGGAAGGACACAATTTATATTGTAAACTGTCAGATATACTGGAACCAGCCCCCTGGTTACAGCTTCTTACCAGCTAATCATATAAACATGGCATCCCAACTGGCATTCTCAACCTTCTGATTCCAAGAGAGGCCCATCCTATCCTTGAGTTAAAGGATAATCCGTAAAAGTAGGGTTTCAATACTGTTTTTCAGGCTAGCTGCTAGGATGAGTCAGACAAACACTGAAGCAGATCTGAAATTCAATCCTGTGGTATGCAGAAGCCACCATATTACCAGGCATGGAGAGTTGGAACAAAACTAAATCAAAACATTACATCAATATAGACTATAGATATTATAATAAGTCTGAATCAATAAAACTAATACTGCTTTGCATTCATGTAACCCTTAAAATGTTGAGAAAGGAACCAAAATCTAAATCTGAAATACGGATTTAAGATATAAGGCTGTCCAATATTTTAATATGCTAGGGGATATAGTGGAGCTGTGAACTTGGACCCAAACCTAGTAATGGCATTGGCATGCAAAATTTTTGTTTGCCAATGGCAATTTTCTTGTCAAGCTTTTATTTAATGTTGTCTGGGTGTGTATTAGCCACCCCCCTGTCACACTGTGATATGCATTAGATCTAAGTTGAGCTGTTTTTGAGTTTAGCAGGGAAGACTTACTGTATGCAGTCACTTTTGCCTTTAATTGATGAATTGTAAAAGAAATCAAACCAGAAATGCATACCTGTAATCTGTGATGTTACAAAAGTAGTCATTAGCAGGAATATATGTGCAGGTGTTTCATATTAAAATATGCAGAATACTTCAGTTAAATGATGATTGATTAAGCTGTGCATTTAAATGCTAATCTCTGACTAAATCTTCATATCTTTAAAAATATTTCATCTCAAGCTGTACACTAATTTTTTTAATTAGCATCAAATAGAAACCTTAATTTATTCAGATATTGATAACTGCAGAGTTGCTACTTATTTCTCAGCTGCATCAATAGTGAGTTACTTGACCTCCCAATTTAATTAGTTAGTGTTTATGTATTATGGTACTGGGAGTCCTTACCCTGAAGAGTATACAAGCTACACAGACAAACCTAACACAGGATGGGAGGGCAAGAGGGAAAAGGCAAGCCTCCTAGATGACCCAAACTCAAACCAATTAAGGATTAAATGTCACTATAAATACTTTCAATTCCACTGGGGAGCCCCAAAGGCAACTTGTGCAGTTCAAAGTGCCAGTGTTATCTGCCCCCAACATCAAACTCCATTTCATAAGCAGCTGCAGCTTCCAAATAGTCCCAACAGCACACTACTGCAATCCAATATAATATCAGAGACAAGGATAAGCACAGCACAGTCTACATCCTAATCAGAGTTGCACTAGCCTTAGCAACTACAGATTGGAAAGCACGCTGTTCAACACACCTGCTGTAGGGGCACAGACTAAACCTGGCAAGGTGTGGGGTAGGACATACTTTCATTTGTAACTCTCTTAACTTGTGAATAAGAGTGATAATACACAGCACAGGATGCAAATGTAATAAGGGTAAAAACAAAACTCTTTTGCTCTTCATAAAATAAGTGATAACTCAGATTTTAGTGACAGGACTTTTTGTCATCTTTTGTTTCCTACTATGAAGTTGTCAGGCTGAAACATCAAATGGCAGCCCCAGGGCTTAACAGAGCAGCTTTGATATTTTAGTTTGAGCCTATTTATTGTACTTCAGGGTAAATGTTTCAAAAAAGATAAATGAGGAACTATCCAGCCTTTTCTTCAATGAGCAATGGTGCCTGTTCAAATTGACGGATTATGCTCAAACCAAATGCTAAAGTGATTCTTCTGCCATCAAAGCAGAATAGAACCTTGATAATTTGCACTTATAGCTAAAAGGGACTTTTGCCAACCAGCAGGTCCACCCACCACAATTAGAAAAAGCAAGAATAATGGATCTGTTTGAATTATACCTCATAAAAGGCCTGTCCTGTATTTTTCCTTTATATGGATTCCACATTAAAAAAACCTAACTACAGAATTCTAATTCTTTGGTTGGAAGTGGGAAATTGCAACTTTTAACCGATAAGCAGACTGCATATTAATGTTCTGTTGTACCTGAATTAATACAGCTCGAATATATATTTATCTGTATTTGACAAAAGGAATCTTACTTGGTTAGATTCACAGTTTAGATTTATCTTGAAAAACTTTATTGTAAGTCAATTAGTATGAACAGTCTATGCAGATCTTAAAATGATATGTAACTGAGTGAAAGGCATTCCTTTGCATAACATTAAAATTACTGTTTTCCAGATTAACATTTATCTATTGACACTGGTCAGGTAGCATTTCTCTAAGCTTAATCTTTTTATCAAAGTATATAATAACTTGTCCATTAAGCTGAAATTTTCCACTAAAATATGTTTTGAGGAAATTGACTTACACTTCAAGGAAAAATTCTAATACCAGTTCTCTGACAAACTCTTTTGCACGGAAATTCAAATCTGATTTTTTTTTCCCTATAGAAGGTTATTGCTAATGTCTTCATACAAAAATATCAGCATCTGAGAATTAAAATGACACTCAATTTTAACTTTACCTTTTACCAAGGTATTGGAAGCACATAGATATAATTTCCATATCATAAATTCAATATTCTGTTGTTAAATCTAGATTAACCTGAAGTGTGCATCAGATAATTTGTTCATTACACTTAATGTAGCTGAAATATCCCTGCCAAGGCCTTAGTGATTTGTACAATGTCCAAGTTAAAAGCTCTTGTGCACGCACATACAGTATTTTACATTACGTATGATCTGACTATTGTAAGTTACCATTTAAGTTTTATTAGATATTTTAATGACAGTACAACAAATGTAAGGCTGGTGGTACAGTATACATTTCCTACAATCACAAAATTTCCCTAACATTACTATGAACTCAGTACAATTTTCCCTGTTTTGAGAAATGACACACACCTACATATTGCCTTCATAATGCCAGTGAAGTTAACTTAGAGGCACTCATACCAACATTGAGTGTGGTATAAACAGCTAGGATGATATCTGCTTTATGCTGTTAGTAGCTGTTTAGATTAATCTCTCAAACGAGTTGTTGTGGTATTGTAGCAGTCATATAGTATCATCCTAGCATTGATCAGAGTCATTTTTCTTCATAATGGTGAAGTGAAATGGTATGGAAAGGTTCTTTAGACAAACATTTGTGATTTCCAAATGCTCTGACTATGGAATTTAAGGACCAGGTAAAAATTGAAGAAAAGTATGATTAAGAGAGGTAACCGACCACCCTGTTTCTAAAACAGGGTATTATTAAAACTCCCAGCTATTTGTTGCTCACATAGTAGCAGGATTTTATAACCTTGATAACTGGATCCCCTCCTTTCCCAGGGTTCCTGAATACTCCGCTTCTCAGCTAAGCAACTTAGTTTCATACAGACAGCCAATGACTTGTGTTCAAAGACCAGGTACCTAGCATTTCCTAGACAGTGCCTTATTGTAACAGACCATTACTTCAATGCATATTTTTCAACTATGATACTGTTAATGGACATATACTAGCAGGGTTTCATTGTAGTGTCTTGTAATATTATTACAAGACTTAGCTATTATTACAAACCCTTCATCATGGGATTTATTAATAGCACCTCAGGTTATTTGTTTAGAAAGCTATTTGAGCTACAGTGGTTGCTTACCTCTGGAGGGATGTTTCTATCATATGTCATATTTCAATTCTTAGTCATAGCAACATACAGTAGGTAAAGTAATGCTAGGAGTATAAGTAAAATGATTCTTTATGCTTGACATCTTAAGTATCCAAGAGCATCTTACTGGGTGTATTAAAAACATTACTAATATCATTTTGTACTGGTACAATGACTGACGCTATCTAAATAGAACTATAACTAACTCAATTTCAATCTTGTGCTTCACTCCTGAAAAGTGTTAAGTTACCACAACAAGTAGTTTTTCAATTTGACAAATCATTAGATTTTTTTTTAGCCATCAAAATGAAATTATTAGAAAAGTATAGTAAATGTCTTCACAAAAAAATCCATTCAAATTCAGTAGTTTAGTTAAGATCCATCAAACGTGTGTGTTTAATACAATTGATCCTTATAACAAGAATTCAAAAAGTGTGGAACTACACTATACAAATCAAAATATACTAACCTAAATCTAGCTATACAATATACATTAGGAATGCAAGCGCTATAACCATATAAAATGCTTTTACATCCACTAGTTGCAAAAAACTGTTCTGTAATCCTGTGGATTTGTAAAAAAGTGTATTCCAGCGTTCATCTTAAATTCTTGGCAACCTGTTGGGGAAGACAGAATATTACTATTAATAGGAATTTCACTAGATAAGTATGCTCAGCAGATATACAATAATTGTGGAATTCAAAAAGAGTCAAGCTCCATCCAAGCTTTCTAAAAAAAAAGTTTTAAATAGACTGGAAAAAGTGAGACTTCTCCATTTATAGGATTCCATGTCCTAATCCTCTGACCTAGTAGAAGTGTAAAATTCCACTATTATCAGACTTAAGAGTAAAAGCTAAACTCTGGGGCAAATAAAGTATAAATCATGTAACCATTTACTTAAATGCTTAATTTTACTCACATGAATATTCCAATATAATACCCCAGTTTTACTCATAAGTATTTCTGTTGAAAGAGCTTGCCAGATCAAGACTTATGTTCACTTCACTTTCTTGTCTTAACATCTTGAGAAAAGAAATTCATCTGGTATTCAAGATGAAAGCATAGCCTAAACTATGTCTCCTCTGCAGAGACTAACAACCTCTTAAATGAGGTAGTGCCCATAACAGCATCAGAGAGAAGTTATCTCGATCTATACCTGAAGTTGTGAAACTATTCCAAAAGCATTTCACTAGTCACCATGAAACCACTGCTAATTTACAATAAATAAATAATACATTAATGGAGATACACCTATCTCCTAGAACTGGAAGGGACCTTGAAAGGTCATTGAGTCCAGCCCCCTGCCTTCACTAGCAGGACCAAGTACTGATTTTGCCCTAGATCCCTAAGTGGCCCCCTCAAGGATTGAACTCACAACCCTGCATTTAGCAGGCCAATGCTCAAACCACTGAGCTATCCCTCCCCCCTTGCATTGGTATTAGTACTTTACTATGTTTGTTCAGTTGCCCTCATATAATTACAAAAATGGACTTTTGAGCCTGACTCAGTGAAATCTCAGCACCCATGAAATTTATCCCACTAATTAAAGCCCAAGCATAGGGTGAGCATTGTCATAGTAGCTTCAAACAGCCCATCATGATCTGCAACACCCTTAATTAGTCATGAGAGTTTCTTAGTGGGGACTTTGAAAGAATGACAATGTATTTATTTATCTGTTGCACCAGAAGCCAGACTACTTAACTGTTGCATGAAAAGCAGCTGGAGTATCCACTGTTCCAACTGTGTAACACATACTGGTCGTACTGCCAGGGAGGCAGACAGGTTTTAGGCAATGAAATTAGATGGTGAGGGGAGCATTTAATACTGTAGTTTGTTCAAATGTTAGTTGTACAGAGTCAGTCTGAATCAATAGCAGAGGCCATGTGAAGCTGTTTCACCACTTTGCTCCCTTATTTTTGCTCCCATTGTATTTTTTTTTTTATTTTTACTTCTAATATTCTGCATCACTTTTCACTAAAAAAAACAGCCTGTCTGAAGAGGTTGGTGGGAGCTTTCAGTTTTTCTGAATCCAGTTTTTCTATATCCTTTGCTAAAGAGACCAAACCAATGCTCTAGAGCTCAATGCATGACAAAATACAATTTTTCATTACAGCATTTTCAGAATTATTCTACGGGGATTTCAGACTCTAACTCACAAATCAGAGGGTAAAATACTGGCCCCTTTAAAGTACATGGGATTTTTACCATTTCAAGCCAGGATATCACTCAGAAAGATAATAAGCAATTCCCTCACTTTAACTCTTGTGAGTAGCAGGCATCTTGTTCTCTCCTTCCAATTCTTCCACTCCTGCTTGTGTCATGAGGTCTGCAATGTTTTTCTCCAGGTCATCAATGCGACAGCTCATATCATCAAGTAAGTTTGAGTTAAAGAAAATGAATTGTAATGTTTACACTTTAGTAGCAATTTATCACTTGACCACAGCTTCATGCGTTGTTACAACAGCTTTAGAAATCTGGCTTGCAAGTTTAGAATTTAATATACTAAATATTTGTACACTTTCCTCCATCAGAGGCATTTTACAAGAAGAAAGGATATTTCTTCCAATGATCTGGTCAGACATGGTCTGAAATTTGTCTTGCATCTGTTGAAGCAGTGTCTGTACCTAACAGGGCAAAAAAAAAAAAAAGTACTTAATCAAAATATCCCTTTTTACAATACTTTAGCATAATGCAGTCACTTTTGAGCTCAACTTGTTTCACACAAAACCATACGTTTGGACAGCATTGATCAAATGTTAAAAGTAACAAATTACTCTGGGAACTCCATGCCAAAAATAATTCAGGGCTTATGCACTCAAAACCTTAGAGCAGCCCTCTACCTGTAACATCCCCCATTATACACATGAAGAAAGTGAGCCTGAATAACTTCTCTGGGGCCTACAAAGTGAGTCACTGTCAAAAACAGAATTGTTATGCTTTAGCCATGCAATCATTCTGCATCTGATATGGAAGACTGAAAAAACCATAATTGTACTTAATATTTTCAAAATACAACTCAATCTTATACACAAAAAAAGTTCTTAAATTACAGGACTAGCTCTGAACTACTCTTGCAGCTCGACACCTAGCAAGAGCCCTGTGCTACCAATTAAACTGACAAGAGTATGTGTATGTATGGGGGGCAGCCAAACACCTGGATTTTAGGAAACCATCACGCTGAAGTGTCCCCAAAAGAACAGCAAGGACAATGCTAGCACAAACCAATGTCTAATCCAGCACCCCTCCCT